CTTTCATGTAACCATTTCTTCCCTTTGGTTTTAATTAATCGCTTTCCAGCGAGGCTGCTTCACGCAAATAATTGGATATAAGATACAGTTAATTATGTAAACGAACGGATTTTATGCAAAATCATTTTATTAAAAAACAAATTTTTGTACAGATCGTAAGAAAACCGAGTTTATTAATAGCTAGACCTATTAGTACATTATAATTATCAAACGCGTATAGGATGTCCACTGTAAAATATCTTTATATTTTACGAGTATTCCTTTTTCAATTAGAATGCTATTATATCTGCGGAGCGTTGATATTTTAGAAACGGCGTCCTTTAAAGACCTGAAAAAGTGTAATTTACATTTAATATATTTTCTTACAAATTAATCAAACCTAGACTAGAATTTACCTAACATTTTCTTTGAACTTAAAATGAATGAAATTTAAGGGCCTGGATAACATTCTGGATCAATTTGTGTGATTCTTACGAACCTAAAACGTGTTATTAAAAAACTATATTTGTCTACATTTTAAACCACCAAAATCCAAGTTACATAAATGAATTGTTTTAATATATAGGGTAAATGGGACGGAGTTAGATAGAATTGTAATAAACTCAATTTCGAGTTTCAGTAATAAAGCTGGTATCGTAACCTAACTATGACATAACCATTACATAACGTCTGTAGGACATATTCAACAGCTTTTGATCCTGTACGATCCAGATTAAGTTTATTGTCTGAGTCTCAGATAATCTCTCCAAATTGCTGCTGGAGGTTCATTTCGGGTGCCAATTAATATTATAAATCTGAGCTATAAAGATGTCCGGATGTTTATTCTCAATCATAACTTAACTGGTATTGTTTGGAATGGTCTAAGAAAACTTTTAGTCTAAGGGGTTGACATGGTTTTATTTCCCACTACAAATAATTTTGTGATGATCACGATCATTTGTGTCTGAGTGTATGAATGCACGGATGGCGTAGTCATTTAAGCGGTCACCTCGCCGCTTCCTACTGCGTATGTCCGTTTCTTGTATGTTTGTAAAGTCATATATACACACACACACATACACATACACACACACAAATATACACCCACAGGATATATTCCTAATGCGGGAGTTGTCTTTTTTAAAGAAAAAGAAAGACTGTAATATGTATGTACTAAGGAAAGGCCATTGTCCAGAAGTGGACTATTCCATGCTGTTGATTTAGTAGTATTTAGTAATATATAGCAAACTTATTAGTAGTCTGGTTACTGTGTTACAGGTTTTGCTTGGCTAGCGATTAGATCGTCATCAGTAAAGTGTTTTTCCCAAATTTCTATATTATGAGTTCTATAGGATAGCTGTAACATACATACATACATACGACTGCACGGATGGCGTGGTGGTTTAAGCGGTCGCCACGCCGCTTCCTACTAAGCCGAGTGTTGTGGGTTCAAACCCCACATGGGACGACACTTTGTGTGATCCACAAATTGTTGTTCTGAGTCTGGGTGTTCTTTGTGTCCGTTTCATGTATGTTTGTAAAGTCCCTCGAGACACAGGATTTATTCCTAATGCGGGAGTTGTCTTTTTTATAATAATTATAATAATAATAACCTTTAAGCTTATGAGGAAATGCAATTTACATAAATCAGGATTAAAAATATGTCAGAAGTTGGCCGGTCGATTAGATGGAAATAATGATAAGCCAATCGACGCCTCGAGAATGTCAAAGTTGGGAAATAGTAAATATGAAAACCAATAAGTGACGGGAGACTAGTGATTGCCTTGGACTTGCGATCAAGAGCTTGCGATTTAGCTTAGCTGGAGGGGTTAACGGAAATACTAGTAACTACCGTGGCTAGAAAGCCTTTAAAAAAAATAGCGAATTTACAGTAGATAGTTTAAAGAAAAATAAAAATAATATAGCTACTATAAAAGCATAAATGTTAAAAATACTATTAAATAATAATAATAAAAATGATTTATTATTAATAAAAATATTAAATTTATTACACTTACGTAATTGGGGAAAATCTATTGCTGTCAACCAAACACTTATATTTTTAAATGCTTATTTATTCGTGCTGATCTCACAATATTAGTCCTGGAAAGAAATCGAACCCAGGTCTTTATTCTTAGCAGTCGCTAACCTCTAACAAGGAGCCCGTCAAAATATTCATATTTCATAAAACTAAAGGAAGTTCAACAAATAAGTAATAAACCTGTACCAATCTAAATGATCTTTCTACATATATCTATACTATCCATATACCTAGGTATTTGAACGTACAAATCTACATACTCGAAGACTACACACCTATTGTTTGCCTACTGAAATGACCTTTCTAAATGACGTCACGGTATACCATTATATTAGAGCCTAATGGCATAACAGCATACAAAGGTAGGCTTCCAAGTAAATCCGACTGGCAATTGGACCCGGATTACTGGAGGTTATGGAAGGACGAACAATTTACACATTTGTGCTTTGATCAAAATTGCTTGAGAATCTTAGAGCTGTTTGGATTTACTGTAATATTACAACGGTTATATTCAAATATGAAAAGAATCAGTATAAAGGACATAAAATATTCTGTTGATGTGTAATATGTTGTGAATAAGTAAGACATGTATTGATTATATTTGAAAACTGTCGACTCATAACAACAATTGTTTTTAATCTTCTGTAACTTTAATGCATCTTAGTAAAACTGTACTTATTTGCCTCAATATTCGTTCTAAATCTGAATATTAGAATATTTAAAATTGTTTACGTATAAATATTTACGAGATCAAGTCACGTTTAGCTTTTTTTATAAATGGTGAAAGCGATCCTATTTAAAAACAAAATCTTAAGGGTAGTTTGTCGGATCTGGTTTCTTTACTGGATATTGTGACTTTTTTAAATATAGCTGAGAACAAATGGAATTTATTATTCTTGGGTTCGAGAGCAAGAAATGATTTGAAAACTCAGATCTTTGATCACTCCACAACATTGTTAATCTCTTCTGTCGAATACATTTATGGATTAAGTTGGTTCGCCTCAAAACTACTTTGTCGTTCCTTTTTCGGCGTAGCCTAAACAAAACAAGAAAAATTGAATTATTGGTTGAAAGATCTTTTCACGCTCAAAGCAATTTTAACACATTTGTGCAATACATCATAGAGTTACGATTGTGCAATGCTGTCCGTGTATTGCTGGTTCTAATACCTACTAATCCGTAGCTCCAGCAATCTCCCTAGGGTTTCAACACATTTAATTTTGTGGAAGGAAAAGAGATGAAAAGAAAATGAAAACATTTTGATGGATTAAAAATACATGCTTATACCTTATGTAGATGGAAATAAACTACTCGTATAGTGGTTAAAATATTTGATTTCATGTAGGTATGTCATTTTAAGTTTGTACCAATTTAAATGAATCGTATAATTTTTAATGATAAAATATAGTTTTCTGATGATTCGTTACTAATAAAACTATTTTTTTCTGTTATAAACATAACTTTATTCTCAAGCGTAATAATTTTTTAAGTGGCCTTGTCTCTGATAAACAGTTATTGTCTGGACACAAATGCGAGGCATACTTATCTAATTCCTGCGATTAAGTTTCTTTTCCACTCACTATCTCGAGCTCGTAATTTAAGGCCAAGGGGACAGAATGAGTAAGAAGTTGTTGTCAAATCAATGGCCTATACAAAAAGCTGTACAATAAGAAGACCTATACAATAAGAACAAGGTTTTTGAAATTGATTAAATGTAGACTAGAAACGTGTACATAAAAGTTATTTTTTTAAATCAACATTTCTTTTTTATTACAAATAATTTTGCTAATATCAGTACATCTTTTTTCATGTATATTTTAAAAATCAATCAATATATTAGAGTTCTGGTTTAGTAGGTTGGTAGGTAGTTTATAAAATAGTTCTCGAAATACAAGACGCAATTTATATAACTCAATTAATTTATCTCTACTTTTCTTTAAACTCGTCGTTCACTGAGTTAAGAATGTCTATCGCAATGACGATAACACTTAGATAAACGCTGTGACTCAAAAGTTAAGAGGGTTTTATTTAAATTTTGGTACGACTACAGCGACAAATCATAGTAACTTACTTGATATGTACATAAAGGAGGAGAATGACTGTTGATAGCATTAATAAGTAAGTTCAACATAAAGCTCGATAGATGGCGTAGTACCCTTTTTTGTAAATCTCACCATGCTACTTTACCGTTTTTAGTATATAAGCCAAAAAATATTTTCTTTTTTTATATACTTGACCTACGGTGAATATGGTATACTCGTATAAAGTGACAAGTTCAGTGAGGTGAATTCCATAGCGACCCTGGGCTGAAACGATGAAGTTGATTTTTGTATTACAATATTACAAAGATAATCAATCCGCCTGGCAACCAATATTTATATGAATTTTATGCATTTGGAACAGCTAAGACTGAGAGCGTCAGTCAAAACTTATATCAACCAATAATTTTCAGACTTATAAACAGACTTCGGAAAAAGGAGGAGTGTTTCAATTCGGTTGAATTTTTTTGTTTGTTGTCATTTACGAATCGATAAAGAAAATCCTTTTTTATTTAGTAGTGTATACTTCTAAGAGGCTTCTACGGGTGAAAAATTCAGCAATCCATACTTATACAAATATGAAACTGAGTTTGTTTATTTGTTTGTTACGCTTAAGTAAATATCTAAAACAGGTATGCGACCGGGGCCTCAATTCTGCTATGTTTACGCCAAGCCAGTGTCATACCACTGACACGCTATTGAGATGCCATCGAGTAGCCATTGGCATCGGTATAAATATCGGTAGTTGAAAATATATTACGTTTTTTGAGGAAATGATTTATTTCTTTTAATAATTTATTATAATAAATTATTAAAAGAAATAAATAAATTATTAAAATATTATTTGCTTTACGATGTGGCTCTTATCTCTCTAAACTAATAAGGGAATTTTAATAACTATATACTTAATTATGTTATAACATTCAAGATAATCGCCTTACCTTTTTTGTGGTGCCTTGTGAAGTTTCCGAACACGCTGCCCAGTCTTTGCTGATTCCTCGTCGTACATAACTCCAAAGATTTTAGGTCGTCCGCGTTCTGTGCAACCAAAATGGAAGACCTTTTCGACTCCATAGCACCCGTGTTAACCAACAACTCGGCTTCCAGTAAAAGAACAATAGTAGCGTAGAGTAGTTTGAGTTCTCTACAGCAAAGCATTGTTTTGGCACTAAATTTATTTATGGTCACATTTGGAGCACGTTACGTAACACGCTTAAATTAATAGTCATTGTTTTCACTGTTATCTTCTTGTGTTTAGTTCGAGGTGGAAGGGGCGGTATCGCATTCTGGAAAAAAGAAAAAAAAAAACTTAGTGGATACTCATTAAGATCTTAAACGTTTGCGCTGCCCTTTGACGATGAGACTCGGTGTTTTAATGAAAACGTAAAAGGGCTCTCACGTTGTTTGTCTACTCGCTTTTAAGGAAAACATGGAACTGAATGAAGTTATTTCTCATTTATATTAAAAATAAAACTATGATACTCTTTTGTGTTTGCGTAATATACATTTACATGTGGATTATATATTAATTTTTAACGAAAAGATTTTAAAGATTAAATCAGTTAATCATTATTTATCTATTTGACGGGACACGGAATCCAGAAGTGTTTTATTTCATCATCATCAACAGCCTTTAATAGTTCACTTCTAGACATTGGCCTCTCCTTAGAAAGGAGGTTTTTGCTTACTATGCCACGCTGGCAAGACGAGTTGGTATATGGTTTGTATCAAGTTTTACTTCTCTTTGCAGTGCTGTTGTCCTGCGTAGTTTGCTCCCTTAGACGGCTCTTATGACACCCACGTTAATCCATCACCACACAGACTTTATTTTATTATTTTAACAGAAAATATTTATATGTTAAACGAACACAACACATTACTCACGTCTATTTGCCCGATGAGTTAACTAGATAGAGACATAATAAACAAGCGTATTATAACAGCTATTATTTGAGACCCACTAACGTAGAAAGTCTGTATCCGTCAACGGGGTACCTCAGCAATAAGATAGAACAGGAAGATATTACAATGGTAGAAAATGTATATGCAAAAGTACGAGCTGGTCAGTGTCATACTTGCTTCAAACGATAGGTAACTAATAAGAAACTTAGTATTTACATATTTTTTTCCTGTGCGATAATCCCCTCGGATACCACCCACCGGTGGGGTAGCTATGTCGGTCTCGAACCGACCGAAAACCGCACGCCGTCTCGGGTACCAGTAGACGGGGAGCCAGGTGTACCCTGGAAAGAAATCCCTGGTACCCCGATGTAACTTAGTATATACTTAAAAACACCTCTGTAGTAAGTACATGAATATTTAGATAAATCCGTTTAAAAAAAAGATAAAACACGGTGTTGGACCTGTAAAATAGAATGTTCCCTCGATTTCTCTGGGATTCATTTATCAAATTCAGATTTGTGATAATGAAACCATCCCGGGAGTATACCTGTTCGATGTATTTATTAATTATTATTATTGCTGACATCGAACACGTGAATTGAATCCGGTCAGGCCGCGACGCATTATACATAATGACAAAATTCTGTAAAATAAAACAGTGTACTTTTCGGAACCGTGGCGACCGGGTGCATTCATAACAATAACATATTAACATTTTAACATATCAACATTACATATTAACATTTCCCATTAACTTTAGTAACATTTAATACATTTAACATAGTTTGGTATCATCGTGTTTTGTAAACATTTAGAGTAGTTTATATAACAATAAACATTTTATAACATTACTTTACATCCTTTTAAAACCTCCAATTGCACCCCAAACAATACCTTTTCGATTACAAAAAGACTTTCGAAAATCGTCGCAAAATTTGTAAAATCCCAAAACACACAAAAAAAATACAGTGGAATTGAGAACTTCCTATTTATTTTTGATGATGGTTAAAAACAAAAAAATCAATAAAGTTACATCAGCCATCGAGCACGATTACAACGCTTATTTCTATAAAGGAATATTTTCTATTAATATATTCATAAGTTATCAGAAATAAGCGAGCCCAAAGCATGTTCTGAAAATAATGTATGCAATTTAACGACGCTATCCAACAAAATGGTCAAAGGACCTTCATAAAACAGCGCTAGCGTCAACCGGACCTTCGTTCTATTCTAGTGGGAATCGATAGTAAAACCAAACGAACACGTATTGAGGCCAATCTCAATACCATTTATAAAAGCGGTCTCCTATAAATAATTACAAAATAAAGTTTCCAAGAACTTGGAACGATGTTGGCTGTCTAAATGGAAGTAAAGCAATATGTTTGTGTAATATGTTCGTTGAAAAATCGAATTGAGTTCCTGTGTAAACAAACGCTTGGAACTTCTCTACACCATTTCTGTGTAGCTTTTCTATTTGAAAAAAAAATTTAATAAATAATAAGCAAAAGTAAGTGTTACTTTAATGCTACTTATAATTAATGATCTTTTTTTATAGTATTGGGGGGAGAGGTGGAGCTTCCCCGGTTACTGATACCCGAGATGGAGTGCGGTTTTTAGTTGGTATGAGTCCGACATAACCACCGGTGGGTGGTACCCGAGGAGATTTCCGCGCAGAAAAAAAAGGTGCGAGGAGGGGTAGATTGGTAAGTGACTACCGCCGCGCGTATAAAATAATAATAAAGAGTAAATTGATACTAAATAAAATACGTAAATCTTAAAATGTAAACAATACATGTAGCACGGTGGTAAAACGTACGATTGCGACTTCAGAAGTCGTGGGTTCGATTCCCATTTAAGGCAAATATTTATATACGTAACCTTAAATGTTGTAAGTTGTTGTGAGTGGTATCCTTACTTATAAAGGATAAAGGGTTTTAATCACACATATATTTCGAGGATCTCGACTAGTTTTGCACCTAACGGGGATATTTTTAATGGGTGATCTTCTGCGTCAATCGCTTCACTTTAAAAACTGGTCGGTCATCACCGTTATATTATACACATGAGTAAAACCATTTATCCTTTATAAATATTATCTGACACATACCGAAAATATCTATTTACTTAGCAACTGGTGTCTCGATATAAGAAAAAAATTGAATTTTTAAGCGTTTTTTAACTGACTTAAAAAAGGAGGAGGTTATCATTTCGGATGTTTTTTTTTTATGTACATATGTTCGGGCATAACTTCGTCATATACAGACGGATTTTTTAAATTATTTTTTGTTCGAAAGGAGTTAATTTCGAAATGGTCCCATTTAAATTTCATATAGATGTGATGATGAGTTTCGGAGACAAACAACGGAACTCTTCAAAAAATGACATTGAATGAACCTTTTCAGTGCTCTTTGCTCTAGCTTGATAGCTGAGAGGTTTTAGTACTCTATTTGGTAATTTGTTTAAAGTCGGTTCAACTTAAAGAAAAAGGATTTTTAGAACCTTAAATTTTGTAGAATTCAAATATAACATTGAACTTTACTGATATGAACTACATTATATTAAAAACTGATAGCTTTTTTATCATCAGCCTATCGCCGTCCACTGCTGAACGAAGGCATTCCCCAAGAAGCGACAATAGCTTTTTCACTGACTACTTTTTATGAACTCGCTTTTATTTATTTATACTTCCTGCAAATACATTGCATAAGGCGGACTTAATGCCATAGGCATTTTCTTCCAGTCAACCTTGGGGTGAACCTTTTGTATTAGTTACCAAAAATAGTAGACTAAATAAAAATTTAATATGAATATAAAGAAATCCCAGTAGTATAAAAATGGTATTCGAATAGATTGTGTTTCCTATCTGTTCTTTGCCTGTTTTTTGTGTTCCTGAAAAAAGTGACTGATAAAATCAACATTTACGGTAAGTTAACTAGTTCTTCATATTTTTTTCGACATCTAGCTTAGCAGTATGCTGGCAAAAATAACAAACAATTCCATTCCAATAATATTACTGTCCAATATCAAGGATTTAGCAGTGCATCAGCCATGAAAAATATTCACGGTGTACAATATAAAATTACAAATGTATTCGAATTGTTTTAAAATTATAGATATGTTAAAAACAAACAAATATATCAAATAAAACCTAAACATAACAATTTACGATGTTATTATTTTCCTTTCTAAGTACACAATGATAGCAGCTGCAACAAAGGTGTGTGAACACATAAAAACGATCGGTGGGACAATTGTATTTCAGCGAAAACATTGTAAAAGCTGAAAAAATCTTAAAAATAACGTGTGAAAATGTATGTTTTCGATGAAATCATTTTAGTAGTGCTTCTTTTTTTACCAACTTCAAAAACACAAAAGAGGAGGTTATCAATTCGGCTGTTTTTTTTGTATATTTGTTACGCGATATCCATCAATTGTGAATCGATTTTAATTATTTTTTTTTGTAATCGGAAGGGTGTACACCCTAAGTGGTAACATTACCACCAAATCAGGATCTGATGATGGGATCCTAGAGTAACCGAGAGAAACCCTCAAGTTTTACAGCCCCGACAACTTGTTTTCTTGTTTCTCTGGCTATATCGGTATTTGCGTTTAGTAGTCGCTTTATCATATTGCTGAGCTGAGCACACGCCCACCACTGTAACTCCTGTTCACCAGGATCAGCAGCAGTGACCCATAAACACACTGAGTTATGACACTCGGAAAGTCCCAGGAAAAAATTAAACTATATGGGAACCCGCAACGAAATATAATTCACTTCCCTCTTTAGCAAAGTGGGAGACAAAATGAAGTAAAATAAGCATACACCCTTTTAAACAGGGAAACACCACGACCCCCATAGCATACCGCTCCAGATGGCACCTGCAAGGTATTCAGCATTATATAACGTTCATTATACTAAAGACTACATTCCCAGAGGATATGATAAGCACACAATGTTGACTAGACTAATTTAAATGAATATAGTTTTGCTCTTAAAATTACCATGTCCTGTAAGAAGTTAAACGACACACTGCTTCAAACAGACTTGAAGGGACTATTGCTATTATAATGGTACCTGTTATATTGAGGGTTGCACTTATTATTACATTTTTACTTAGATTTGTAATTTTTTTTTTATTTTTAGTGCTCTTTGTCACTATTTTTTGAAGCCGGATCAACTTTTTTTTAAAGGATTTTATTCCTCCTTATTTTCCTTGAAGACTTATAGGTGTTAACTTTTTTATTTTTTTAAAGTT